TGTTTATAGAATTAAAGAGAAAGTATTATCACATAAAACGAAGCAACTTAAACAACTTACATTGAAAGAAATGTTTAATAAAATAAACAAATAAATATTTTTTTTTTTTTTTGTTTATAAATTTTGATACTCTTTAGATCATAACTGTTCTTTATTTCGTAAATTATGGTTTCATATTTTTAATTTTATAATTTCTGCATGCCATCTTACCAGATTTAAACTGATGATCTATAATCTTGAATCGCTGAAGTCCCGACGAGTCCGGATTAAAGACTTTGTACTGTAGCTTTGGCAAGATCTTCTTTGTTAGAGGACCATAGATCCCATTTGATAAACTTCAGAGCTGAGAAAAGCCTTTCCACATTGACTTCAGCAGGAGGAAGAGCTGTTACTGTTAGGGCTAGTTTTGAACTTTTCAGGATAGATTTTTATAAGTTCTAAAAGAGGTCTCGTGCAAGAGCAATCATATTTTTCTACTTCTTCAAAGGCCGTGTAGAAATATTGTTTGTATTTTTTATTTCTATATCTAAAGGCTCATTTTCATTCGCTTTGTCTTAGCCTTTTCAGTATTATCCAAATATATCACAAAATCTCATTCATCATTGGAAGAGAATGATAGAGACTTAATTGCAATGTCTGCAGTTTGACTGTCCTGATTTGAATTCTCCAGTTGTTCCGAATTCTTAATGAAAGTTCATAGATGGCTTTCTTTGCCTTTTTAATTTGTTCATCATCCAAGAAAATTTGATGTTTTGGATCTACAAATATTGAACCCAGCAAGATCTCATTGTCTAGCAAACTACTTTCTCTTTTCTTCATTAAAGAAATGATTCCTTCTGAAATAAACCCTCCATTTCAGAAAGAACAAACTTCATATTCTTCTATTCTCGCCTCCTGTCAATTCTTCAGATTGCAGCTTTTTACAACTATACATGGTATAGAAAGAAGAGTTTCTAATTCTGCAAGATCATTCCATAGTCTTTCTGTTAGTGAAACATTATGGTTATCTACATCTTTAAAAAAAGTTCTTAATTCTAACAACCTCCATATCACCAAATATGTACTTCCTCATCACGTTGCTTGATCAATAACTGCTCACCCCACTAGACACTCACACGACCCACTCGGCACTCGCTGCCCAGCTGTCAACTAGATCAACTGTGCATGGACTAACTCGAGACTATCTCGCACTCTTGAGGCACACATACTCTGACTGCGGACCAGCAGGGTTTATATAGCTTTCAGCTTGTGTTTGAGAACATTCTGGGCTAAACCAGTAAGAATTCGTTCCAAAAGGTTCTCCATCTGTCCATGGTATAGTGCCAATTTTGTCATCAAATGGGCAATTTCTCACCAAATGTGGCAACCATGCCATCCTATGCTATTTTATGGTAACCCTCAAACCTGCTTTGCGGGAAAGCTATTTTATTGAGTCTGTACATTTCGTAGCACTGCCCCCTCCCAAGGACTGCACGTCCCAGGCAGTACAACCCTTGGTCAGAAGCCAAATTCGATACAAACAAAACATAATAAAACAACATAAATAAAAAAAAATTATTTACACTATGTACAAGTTATACACACAAATTAAACACATAACAATTCTAAATTATACAAATTAGTTCTGAATGAATTTAAGTCTCAGTCTTTTCATTAAAATATACCCGGGTCAAATACTCTTTACACTGCAGTTCTCAGATGTATTTATGTTTTGCATATCACAGTCTGAAGATTCAGTCCTTTCAAACTTTTTATCCGCATGAAGATCTGAAACAGTTTGTTGACCACTCTGTAGCTTGTTCGCATATTGTGTACAGTTCTCATTGGTATTTTCAGCAACTGGTACATGTTCATTTTCCTCCGTTTCCTGGGATCCAGCTCCAAATTCTGCATCAGAATCATAAACGAAGACCGATACTTTACAAACGCAAGTATCCTGGTTTAGAGTTAAGTCCGTGTCTGCAGAATCTGTATTAGGAGACACACAGTTTCTGAAATGGGTGAATTTTCTTGCAATACTGGAGTACACTGCTTAAGCTGCACATTAACTTCTCTAGTCTCTGCATCACATGCATTTTCAGATGGTTCAATACTCTCTAACTGCGATTTCATAACTTCACTATCAGTTTCTACCAACTTTAATGTTGCGTTTTCGTGTTCTTCCATCTCTACTTCACGCATTTGAGAATCATGAAGTAAACTTTATTTACATGAATTATTTCTTCACCTCTTTCAGAAGCTTTACAAGACACTTCATCTTTACAAACAGTATTATCACTGTATTCCAGTTCAACTTCGGACACCTGTGGATGAGAAGCGTCTTTCCTGTCTTTTTCTTCATCTTTTCGTTCTCTTTCTTTAATCTCGTAAGATGTTTCATCCTTTGTTTTTTTAGCTTTCTCAGATACTTCACCAGCTACTTCCTTCATTTTTCATCCTCTGATTCTTCAGATGACACTTCCATCATTTCTACATCGTCTTTTATAGCTCCAGTTTCTTCTGTAAGCTCAACTTTTCCCTGTTGGAGTTGCTCTCGCACCTTTTCTTGGCCAACATTTATTTCTTCTCGTCGGGCTTTCTTCTCTTCCAGTCCGGCTTCCCTCTCTTTCAGTCGGCTTTGGTCTCAGCTGTCATCTCTTTATATCCAACTTTTATCTCATCATATCCAGCTTTCATCTCGGATAAAATGTCCATCAAACTCTTCATCTCCTCCGCCATGGCTTTCCTCTGCAGGCGAGTCGCTGGCATTCACTCACAAACCCCACTCCAGACACCATTTGTTACGGTTTTTCTTTTCTGACACCAGTTGTTACGTTATTTTCTTCCTTTACGTTCGTACGGTGTTCGTAGATTTGGAGTGAATAACAACGACACTTGATGAAGTATCGAAACACACTTTATTGGTCAATATTGTCAGGACAGCTCCAAAACACGTTTCTACAGTCGACGATGAACTACCATAAACACACTGACACGATCAGCGACACAGACTACAGGTTATCAGGCTATCACGGTGGAGACAGCTTCACGGCAAAGCACTAGAGTACAGCTACCGACTCTGCTTGGTTGTTCTCGAAACTCCATGTACTCTCGAGACTCTCCACGCTACAACACGCGATGCACTCGACGAACACACAGAGCACAGTTCCCGACTCTTCGGTTCAGTCGTTACCGGAGCTCAACACTCTCTCTCGACGATGCACTAACTGCGATACACTACGCGACTCTTTCGGTGCACTCGACGACCCACTCGGCCTTGCTGCACTCTGCACGGACTAACTCGAGACTATCTCGCACTCTCTGGGCACACACACTCTGACTGTGGACCAGCAGTGTTTATATAGTTTTCGGCTTGTGTTCGAGAACATTCTGGGCTAAACTGGTAAGAATTTGTTCCAGAAGGTTCTCCATCCGTCCCTGTTTACCGCCAATTTTGTCACCAAATGGGTGATTTCTCGCCAAATGTGGCAACCCTGCCTTCACTTGCTATTTTATGGCAACGCTGAATCTGCTTTGCGGGAAAGCTATCACACTGCATCCGTACATTTCGTAACAATATTATAAATTTACCTCTCAGCAGACTAATTAATGACAAAGCATTTCAGCATGGCTAAACCAATTTCTAAAACAAAATTTTACTTTTCCAAAACCAATTACAATTAATTTGATATCCATTTGCAAAACGAGGACAAGGGTAAAAGAATCTGTTATTGAAACCCAATGCAATGTTTGCCAAAAAGCATAAAACTGGCAAACTCAAATGAACATGCATGCCATTCCAAAATTTTTCCTGCAGTATGCACAGTGGTTAAAAAATTTAACTTGTATTCTGCCCAACACGAATATGCCATTATGTATACATGTTTGAAACATTTACTTTACTGATTATTTTTACTGCTTCTAAAATTAACTTAACTTTTCATACTCAAGATGAGTAGTTTTCTTTATGTTCAATAAATAGTGTATTTATTATAACTTGCTGTATTCTTTTTTACCTGCACTAGAAGTTATGATTCTCAAGTATTAGTATCATGTTTAAATACACACCTCAGTTCAAGCAATTCAGAAATATGGAAGCAGATTCAAGTACACCCACAACTTTACAGAATAACATTCTGTCAAAAATAACACATGATGCAAATGACATAAAATGCACTTTTTCGTTTGACAGGTTTCAACAACTCATTTTGTGAACATTTTGGTATCACTAAAAACATGAAAATTCACTTCCAACAAAATTCATGAGCAACTTAGTTCTTGTGAGAAAGCTTACATATTAGAAACACTTTTCTTACATATCACCCTTGAGGTAACCTTGTCAAATGGAACTTCTGCAGCGTGGAAAAAAAATGGATACGGTTACTCTGTCAACAAGTGAGAAATTTTTTTAGAATTCATGAATGTTTTTGGAACGCTGATTAGACTTAGCTAAGTGTTAATGTATACAGTTATGAAAAATAAATAATTCAAATAACCAGTTACTCAATATTCTATCAAGAAATTACTTGTTGTGTAATTTCTGGATATTCTTTCTTCTCAGAATCAAAACTAATATAAATATATTCCAAATGTCTTTTCTAAAATTGCAAGCTCAACTTATGGGATATGCTTTTATAAGTTATATTTTCTTTGAGTTTAATAGTGGAATAAATCCGGTTTAATAATTTTAAAAATATTAAATTTAATGCTCTTTTTTATAATAATACACAAAATTGAAAGCATTTCCTTAAATTTGTTTTATTAAAAATGTGTTCAGAAGTAATATTACTGCCAAAAATTAGCCATTCCCATTTTTTATGAAAATGCCCTGACAATGAGTTAGCAAGTTTTATCCCAAATTGTGTTATCTCAACTGGTTTAAAAAATGAGATTCTATTCCACATTATTCAAAACAAAAATTTTGTTTATGAAGCAATGAAAATATATTTTGTTGAGCACTTTTTATAACAAAATTCATTTCCCTCATTTATATACAAGTAACTTTCATTATACGTACCTACATCAAACTTATCCAAAGCATAAATTATTTCTTCATTGTGATATTCATGAATGTCATAATCAGATTCAATATCATCTAAAAAGAAGAAAACATTTATAATTTATAAATACTCAATATGCTTAAATTTGGTAGAAAATTAAAACATATATATTTTAATTCACCTTTATCGGAATCAGATTCATCCGGATAATCATTTCGCCAATTATTTTCATCATTGCTGTCATCTTCATCCTCATAACACTCTTGAGAATCTTCACTGTCTCCAAAGTATATATCATCATCTATTATCAAGGAATACGGTCGCACACTTAAAAAAAAAAAAAAATAATAATAATAATAATAATAATAATCTAAATCTAATAAAATACTTATAACAAATATGCTCATTTCCTTAAATGTATTCATTTAAAAATTCCATGTAATATGTATTTTAAGGAAGGGAGGCATAGCAAGTAGTAAAGTCCTTGAGGTAGCCTTGCAGAACATCAGTTCTGCAGAAGAAAAAAATTATATAATTATTGTCAATAATCATAAAATTTTTGTAGAACTATCAAATGCTTTCACTGAATTAAATATTAATGTACATAGCTATGAAAAATAAATAATCAAACCCAATTTTTTAATGTTCTATCAATAAATTATTTGTGAAAAACACCAGAATCCTGACTAATGTTGCAAATATTCCACACAGAATAACTAAAAGTGAAAGTTCAGTTATTTATGGGATATGTTCTTACAAACTGCATATTCTTGTAAATGTAGAATAATACATTACTTGAATTACATATGCTTGTAAATGCAAAATCTGGTTTGTTTGGTATAGTTGATTGTGGCAAAGCACACTAGGAGATAGATACCTTAGTGGAGGATTTTCTAAAGGAAACTGGCTCTTATACATGTTACACATGGGAAAAAACCATAAAAACACCCATGCAGCCAGCCTGTTCACATGGAACTGAACCCAGGTCAGAACCACTGTTCGACAATTTTACTGCCTGGCCGCTGGTAAGCCAGTGCAAAACCTAAACCAACAGCCAAAAGATTTAAAAAAAAAAAAAAAAAAAAAAAAAAAAAACACCCAAAGTCTAGGAAAATGATTTTTCTCCGGCATTTTTCTTTAGGTAAATTTCTGCGTGTCACTTTTAAACCTTTGCTTGCTAGGTAGTCATACTGTGGTTAATAATACATTGAAATAAAAATGTTTTTAAAGCTATTAAGATAGGCTAATTACACATACTATTAACAAAGCAAATGTATGTTGCATTTGAAAGAAATAAAAATAAATGCAAATGTGTGTATATAAATATACAATATAACTTTTAAGTTTGAGAATTTATAATACTTATTTCTCAAATCTAGCATCAAACAGAACAAAAGTGCTTAATGCATTTACTAAGAGGATCCACACTTCATGAAAAGGCTTGTAACAATCGTCAATCTTAAAATATATCATTCTCGTTTGTAATCAAGTGCTACAGTAGAATGAAATTTTGCCTATTTTTAATATCCAAGTTAGCATGCTTCTCTTACACCTATAGTTAAATAAAAATAATATGCTAATATGTTCTCAATAATAAAATATTTCACACAGAGAGGAAATTTCATATAACAACTTACCATACAGCACTGTCAATAAATGTATCATCGATAGGAACATCAGCAATATATACATCATAAACATAATCTGTTTTTTCTCGAATAAGAGCTTGATTGTTACACGTGATAATGCTTTCCAATTCCTCACCCTAAAAAATAATCAATACAACTATTTTCATTAAAATAATATTGCTCCATAAGTAACTATCAGCAACCCTTGAAAGCATTCATTAATTATCCACACTCTAACCAAAAACGTGTTAAAAAATATTGATGAGGAATTGCACCACATCACCAAAAAGTATCTATGTGGCAACTTACCAATGCCACCAAAATGTATTCATGTATATGGCAACCCAGATACCCATAAACCACCTAATGTGATTATCTGCAAAATTTTCCATGGCTACCAGGAATTGTACTACCAGTAACTTGCAAAATATAGCTTAATATTTTAAAATATGAAGAATGTTTCTAGGTAGTATATAAAAGAAAGACAAACTAGTTATTCTGATGGTCTGCAATATCATTTTTAATCTTGATCTCAGGGACGGGGGGTAAAACACGAATTTCTTATCTTTATACTTATTATTCTGTATAACAGTCACTATACATGTCCAAGTGGTCATTCTCTTCATCAGAAGAAATTCACCAGAAGAAATTCATCAGAAGAAAAAGTTAAAGATTCACATAAACCTTCCATTAAACCAACTTTTTTCCAGTAATCATTTCCTACATTTTTCTTCCAGTTTTCTGTCATAGCATTTTTAAGAGCTTCTTCCGTAATTTTTAATAATTTATGCATTCCCATGTCTCCACATGCATTGTGATTCCGTAAAAATTGCTTTATTTCACCCCATATGAATTCAACTGCATTTATGTTGCAATGGTAAGAGACCAGATGTAGAGCCATAAAAGTATGTTCTTTAAACACTGAATACAATTTATATGACTTTTCTTTAGGAGCATTTTGTTTCATAAGCTCCATTAACTCTGTTTTCCATAAAATTGGAGAGACATGTGCGACGGTTTTATTAAATAACCACTGCATAATTTCTTCTTTTCGACTTGCCATAGTTTAACATTTATTTAATTGGAGAGTGTGGTAAGTGGCATTGTCTAAAATCACTACAGCATCTGGTGGAAGATTCAGAAGTCCACTTTTCAAAACACAGAAGAATCCATCTCCCTAATGGTATATCTCCGAAGTAGTATCTGCTTTGTATACTAGAGACCTAGGAGGTAAAAAATCCCATATCACCTCAAGCACATAAAACAAAATTCTTTTAGATGCACTGCTGCTCTGAACAACGCCAAAAACGTTCCACCTGCCAAGATTTTGAGAATGTCATGTTTGCTGTCCTCCCAGGTTTCGTTCAAATAAATGAGAGGTCTTTCATGACAAATTTGCCCCTTTTTTCTAAGATGCAGTGTTCTTAACACAATGCCACTTCTTTCAATTAAAACTTTTGTCTTGTTTTGGCTTTTTCTCTGTACAAATCAAATAATATGCAGTATATTTCTTATGAACAGTTCTTCAAATTAAAATCACATTCAAAACCATCTCAATCTTAACTAATACTTCCTTTTTAGACTTTTTTGGGGGGAACTGAAAAATGTCTCTTCCTCCCTTTCTGCCTATCAGTAAATTTTTTTTATCATCATTAGCAATACTACTGCAATGTTGTTGGCTCTTCTTGTGGGCAGTGAAATGGAATGTTAAGTTCTCCACTCTCAGCCTTCATGTCATAAAATGTAATGACATTATGTAGCAATTTCTTTGCACCACTGTGAAACATCTTGTTTTTATCAACTGAACTCATTTTAATGATAAAAACAAACTATCCCTAACATTTACACAAAAGACCACAATATTGACAAATGTGACGTTAAAATAAACTACGATCTAGGTAAATCCCGTGTAAATGCGGTGGAAATCTATAGACCAGTTTCTTTTTTACTACAAAAAGAATACTTTCGCTAAAGAATACAGTTCCATGATTTTTGTCAACATTATCTTTAAAAGTAAGTGATGAAATTCAGATTGTTCATAAAAAAATTCCTAACTTTCATTTAATAATTTCATTACTCTAGGTTTCCAGCTGCAAACTAATGCGAATCTTAGAATTAAATTCTGCAAATATTAAAAAAGTAATAAAAAAAGGGGGTGCCCGAAAAACAGTTGATGACAGCATCACCCGATTACATGGGGACTTTCCCTTCCTTGTTCATAAAAATTCCCTCTTTCTGGGAAAATGAGAACTTTCAAGTGGCCATTCACCTTTCAGCACATAACTAATGCCCTTTTTGGAAAATTCTATGTGTTTTGGTTGAATGCAAGCCAAGACTGCATTTAAGACAGTTGAACTACACTAAAAGTTTCATATATATAAATGGCAGCCTCCTTAGGACTAACGCCACTTAAACTTTTAAACTGCTTATAATTCTATAACTATTGCATGCAGATTAACCAAAGGCATAAAAACCTCACTTTTAAAACAAAAAATGCAGAATTTACTGGCATATAAGAATAAAAACACTGAACTCACCAAGCCAGGTAACAAAATGGGAATATATACATTTATATATGTTTTACATGGCCGATTGCAATGAAAAAAGGGAGCTGCACAATTAGATGTTATAGCAGTCCCACATAAAAAATTTTAATGTTCTATGGCTACTCATTTTTGAATTATGTTAATACATTCATATATACAGACGTCACTCCATTTGACAATCTTTTTTTTTTTTTTTTTTTTTTTTTTTTTTGAGGGGGGAAGTTCTTTATTCTGTCTGTACATACAAATGTGTAAAAATGTCCGATGATGCCAATATGCCACAAACACCACTATAACATGACCTTTTCCAAATGCAAAGGCTTCTAGTGCACCTCTTATGACTTGTTTTCATATCAAAAATGACAATTTTGTTTGTTTACATATCCAATCAAACAGAAATGAGCTTCGAGATAATTTTTTGCCCAAAATTAACATTCTTAAAGCATGTATTTGGCCATGATACATTATCAGATAATACTAAACATGAATAAAAAATATTTACAGTGATATAACATTTTTAACACAGCTGCCATTTCGTTTAAAAATCATATTCTTATTGGAATACCCTTTATAAGAAAAAAATGGCAGTTGCTGAATTACAAGAAATAATATGTGAAATTTAAAAAGTTTTCTTGGTTCAGTTCTATCTACTGATTCCGAGCTGTGACTCCGAGCGTGTCAGACGCACTTTGGTTTACTGCTCAATGAGATACATTCTGCAAGAGAAAAAGAGGAAGAGTGACCTTGCTTGTTTGCATTAGCTGTACATAAGTCACCTGATCTCCAAGATCATCTGCATTGTTTGTTTAAAAAAGGTATACATAAGTTATGTAATCAATGAAGTCATCGGAATGTATCTCATTTTCTACGAACTGACCCAGTCAGTTCAGGCGGTAGTCAGTGTAGGCGGTCAGTGAGTTTGCTCATAGTTTTTTAATGAGTATCGTTTAGACTTCGGCAAGTGATCCCTTAGGGTTTCACGGTAAGCATGTCCTTTTTTAGGGTAGTAAATACGGATGATGAAGCTAGTGACTGCACAGATTGTGGATTATCGACTTTGTCTCTGCCATCTACTTCAAAACATGAGGAATTTTTGAAGGATCCCAGACTCAGGAAAAAGCGAAAACAAAAAAGGAGAATGCGAACTCAGAGAAGAAAGTTAAGAATGCAGAAAGAGCCAGAAGAAAAAATACAGGAACTTATCCAGGAGTTCGGAGCTGACTATCTGATACAACACTTGGAATTTGAGCAACGATTAAAGGAAGCAAACCCCCCCCCCCCGGAAAACAGAATAAACTTGTGTTGAAACATGCAAGGAAAAATAACCAACTTGTCAGCAAGAAGCAGCGAACGAAGCGAATCGCCACAATCCCGGATAATAAAGGTTATTGGATTACCCCAAAGAAGACTGCAAAAATTCAAGAAAAGCAATACCGAGAGATACCACAAGAGAACTGTTTTCAATTACTCAGGAAAATCGCAGAGGAAATGCTCGTAGGAGGAGCCAACAACTCGCCCCCACTGTATTTTCACAAGATGAAATCAACTGGATGACTTTGGATGAAATGTTTTCACTAAATTGTACAGATGTTCATGAATCCCAAATGAGAGGAAAATCCATCTTCATAAACACTAAGAAACCTGACAGATTACAGTATGATGAATGAACTTCTACTTGAGAAAAAGATTCTCCATCACTCCTACCAGTTAGAATTTGAAAAACCGATCCAGGTCATTATGAAGAACCTCCCTGCAACTATCAAAGAAGATGCCATATGCCAAGACCTTAAATTCAGGAACTATCCAAATGAAAAAATTAAGCAGTTTTCCAGAAATCTTCAAGGACAAAAATTAAACTTCCCATCTACTTACTGGAACTAAAAAGATCTCCTGAAGGAAATAAGATCCACCAGCTCAATAATATGATCAGTTTCAACATCATCATAGAAAAATTCAATCCCACGAAAAGGCCAGTCCAATGCTACCGCTGCCAGCAATTCGGTCATTCTCAATTCTGTTGCAGTAATTCCCATTAGATGTGTGAAGTGCGGGCGACAACATCAAAGCAATCAATGCACATGAAACCCGATGATAAGCCAAAGTGTATTTTCTGTGCATTCTGTCATGTGAGCAGCTATAGAGGTTGCAACAAGTATAAGAAAAGATATTGAAAAGAAAAGCAGCCCACCTCAGCCTACAGTTCCTGAACTCTCTAAGGAAAACTTTCCTAGCTCAAAAACTGCTTCAATCCCAATGCAGAAAAATCCCCTCAGAGTCACTTCAGTGAGAAATTGAAAGGAAAGATCACCCCGCTACTGAAAGACTTAAATGATGCTACAGTACAAAGTCTTTAATCCGGACTCGTCGGGACTTCGGCAATTCCAGGTTAGGGGTTTTTCCGGATTATAGATCATCAATTTAAATCTGGTAACATGGCATGCAGAAATTATAAAATTAAAAATATGAAACTGTAATTTATGAAATAAAGAGCAATTATGATCTAAAGGGTATCAAAATTTACAAACAAGCAAAAAAAAAAAAAAAAAAAAAAAAAAAAAACCACTTAATATTTATTTGTTTACTTTATTAAACATTTCTTTCAACGTAAGTTGTTTTATTTTATGTGCTAATACTTTCTCTTTAATTCTATAAACAGACATAATTTCTTGTTCAGTTACAAAGTTCTGCTGTTCAAGTCCTGTAATTGCTGTGCCGAGAAATACTGACTAACTTGTCAATCGAAATTTTTTCATTTTCAATAACCTCTCTGTCACTTTCTTCACTATCGGAAGTGGTACATGGAAACATGCTTTCGCTTTGTAGATTCTTTTGCAGCTCCAGAATCGGAAACTCTTTGTGACATAATTGAAAGTTCAAGCTTACTTCTTATAAAATTGCTCTAACAGTCTGCAAAAAATAATTAGCCGGATCCAATTAGAAGATTAAGGAACAATGCAATCTGGAACATTAACTGAAATAGACAATTAGATAATTTTAGCTTAGCTTATACCGTCCGTTATACATTAAACGCGCATACGTAAACTTATTGTGCACATGCGTAAAGGTATTATACGCAGGCACAGAAAGTTTGTAGCTTTGAGGTCCGGATTATAGATCATTCTGGATTATGGACGTCCGGATTAAAGGGATTCAAGATGAAAAATAAATGCTTTCCTAACTTCGATCATCTCATGCATTGGTAAAATCAGAGCAGAAAAGAATCCAGCACAAAAATTACAAACAGGCTTTCAAGCAGCTATGTTACATATTAACTTCGCTGAGTCTGAAGATTAGAAAAGATTTAACACTCCCTCTATGACGGACCAATAAGAACGCAGGAAACTCAAGCAGCTATTTTCAGAAATGATTTTTTCAATTTCCCCCATTTTACCTTCTTGAACCAGTGCAGTTTTGCTGTCTGTTAGTCGGAGTACCTCCTGAAGGTTTATATGCAAGGCTCTTCTCATCGCAACATCGAGAATACTATTTCTAGAATTCTCAGCCAACATTCCCTAATGTTATGGTAGGAAAGTTATGCCATCTCTCCATGTGTTACACTCAGGATGTGGCTTTTAGCCTAGGCACCTGAACCTTCTATCTACAGCTACTGCTTTCTATCTAAAGAAAGAAAAATGCTAATCCCTAACAAAGACCGAAAGGAAATATTGTGTATGATAATAAAGCTTTCAAAAAATGACTAGAGTATTTTCAGCAGGAGAAAATAAGGGCAAAATATATTAAAACAATTTCATTTAATTAGTTTTCAGAGATTTTTCTAATAACTCTCAGGACAAAAGTCAGCACTGAGAAAGCTCTCTGTGACTGGTTTATTTTATACAAAAATGATTTTTACTTATGAGATAGCAACTTGGATATTTTTTATCTCTACTTTTTAAAAACAGTTAATAAATAAAAACAATAAAATTAGTAACTCAACTCTGAGTTTAGCCTAGATTTACCTCAATCTATTTCAAGGGCACACAGGTATACGACCCTCTTCATTAGGAGGAAAGAAATCTTCAAGACATCTTTGCTCCTGACGAAGAGGGTGGTATTTGCTTGTCCTCCAAATTGACTGAGATCTTGATATAAATCTACGACAAACTCAAGCTTATTGTGTTTCTAATTTTATATTTTATTTGGCACGTTCCTCTTCTGTTTTATATAAAAACAATATTTAATTATAGATGTAAGTGAACAATTTTCTTAATGTTTTTATGGTAAAACCTACATACATATGTATATAAATAATTTGTTAACTTATCACAAAGTATTCAGAGTTTCTTTTACACATCATTTTACATTTTATGCTCAGAATAAAATTTATTTTCATACATTTTTCGTAATGCCAGATAAGTTTTGAATAAAAGTCTCTTTATGCACTTTTAGTCAGTAAAATTTCAATAAAACTTTTGGAAAGAAAACAAACTAAGTTGTCAGAATAACTTAGTTTGTTAACTTAGTTTCTGGTGCTTTTACGAAATTGCTTGTAATGGGAAAAGTTGGTAAATTTATAATCCCCAGTCACTGCCTTCACCTTAATAGGACTGGCTTTTTAAATTACTGATACAAGTAACAACATGATATATTAGGTAAACAAAGTGTTAAAAAAAATGCTTGTTTAAAAAATGATATTTTTATAATAAATAAGTTATTAAAATAATTTATTTGTATATAATTATTACATTATCAATAAGGATATTTTGGACAATATATAAATAATGCTTATGCCAATACAATTTATAGAAAATAAAATTAGAACTTAATATTTTCAAAATACCTGTTTTTTAACATCTTCGTTTTCTTCAATAATATCATACAATTGAAATAATTTTCGAACTTCTATGTCTTTATCAAGAGATTCGTGTTCATTATCGTCCTCGACAGGAACAGTTTCACTAAAAATTAAGCGTCGATTGTTCAAGAGATCTAAACGTTTCTTTTCATTTGCAGCTTTATGCTCAGCTTTCAACTTCTGACAAATCTGATGAACATTTTTCTGGCGAACAGCATTTTTTTTATCACGCCATCTGGAATAAGAAAGAACTTTTTCTTTCGACAGAGCAGCCTGAATATGATTTTTGATGGATTCTTTCTGAAAATTAAAAAACAGACTTTAAGAAGAAATATTAATTCTTTAAATAGCTATAGTCATAAATTTATACTAAAATATCATTAAAGCTTTCATTTTTAACATTTAACATTAATTACATTTTTGAAGTTCCAGCAAAAAAAGTATTTTAACTGCAAAGCAGTTTACATAGCTGTCAGCATTGAAGGGTAAAAATATATTTACCGATACCCCTTGGTGAAAATTGGTGATTTTTGGCAGTACATGAATAGCGAGTTTGTGCAATTCTTTGACTTGTTATTTTGGCTTATGTAGTGGCGATTTTTGCATCAAAGGAGCCAACAAAAAATATATAATCTCAATAAACTACATTTTAAATCAAACAATGAAATAACATAAAAAGGGAAATTAATCTTTGCACTACACAAAGGAAATATCCACTTATTACTAATTAATCACTTATTACTAATTATGTCTACTAATTAATATGTCTTCAGTCAAACAAAATTCCTTAACAGCATCCAAAAACTTCCAAAAATTACTGAACTAGAATCGGTATACTGGTGTCGCCATATAAATTCACAAAACAAGAGTAAAAAATATCCTCAATGGTGCCGTTTATCGTCCAACTTTTGACCATATGCCTTTCCTTCCTACAAACAGGACACTTAATAATGGCTACTAAGTAAACCATTTTCATACGAGTCAAGTAATGCTCTTTTCTCCTTTTTTTTTTTCCAAATCATACAGAAACTTCAAATTAATCCTACCACATTCAGTCATTTTAACATCTCAACAACAAAACAAGCAAAATACTTCCTAACCAACACACACACAAGCCCTTTAAGAATTTACCGCAATCATGCAACTGATTACCTCATAATAAGGTTTCCATAATATTCAACTACTCAGGCTACCGTAAATGAAACAACAACTTGGCGATAAATGAGACAACAACTTCGTGATAATACAAGGGGTACCCTTCTCTCTACTCTAACCCACTGAAGTATAATTAAATATCCTGCCACTATTATTTGTTAATTCGAAGTACAGTAAAAGCGTATCTATCTTGTATTCAACTAACCAGAATATTTTAGAATGTTTGAAAAACTTTTTGCTGCGAAAAGTTTAGTAAATGAGATATATAATGCCATTACAGAGCTCATAGTACTATAAACATGCATACACTGCTACCAAACAATATGCACCAATAATGGATAAACATGACATCACAATGCAATCATAAGAATGTTTGGTTGCTTTGGTTTGATGTTAAATTTGATTAATTCTCAATAAGGTGGTTTAACATTTCCACATGTGCTATACAGACTAATTTTTTATGTACTGAAGCTATTCAATTAGCATTTTTTTCTCTTTCATTCCTTCTCTTTCTCATTTCTGTTGTAGCTACATGGTAATAGGGAAATTTTTGGTATCCATTTTCCTGAATACATTTATAAAGTTGTAGCCTAAAAAGGCAATCTTATTGGAAGAGACTGGTTATATATGAAGTAAAACGTCACTCAATTTCTGTTAGGCCCAGCAGCGGCTGAGCGGTAAAGTCACTGAACACTGGCAGTTTGGTCCGAATTTCAAATCCCGCAAACGGACAGGCTGCATGGGTGTTTTCCCCATGTATAACATGTATACGAGCCAGTTTTCCTTAGAAAGTCCTCCACGAAGGTATCCCTCCAGCTTTGCCATGATTACATAAACCAAACCTACTTCTGGCCGCAGGCCACGAGGTACGAATTCCCGTGCCGAAGTACTATCCCATATTAATAAATATGCGATGCTTAACCTGTAATAAATACGTGATGCCTAACCTGTAATTGTATAGGGTGTAAATAGCATTTTAGATAAAAAAAAAAAAAAAGTAGTTCCAGTGTGGCGAGGAGTAGGGCAATTCACTCTACTTCCTGACAGGAAAAGGAAATTTCATTAAAGGGAGGAGCGAAACGACTTTATACGGGAATGAATGTAGTGCGATATGTTGAGCAAAGTAGTAATGAAATGTGAAAATATTAGAAATTTAAAACCATTGGGAAGAATGAGACTCATTGTCAGCTAAATGTCCGTGTCGGCGAAGTGTCCTGTAGGTTAAGTGTCCTGTCGGCTAATTGTCCTTGTCGTCTAAGTGTCTGTGTCAACTAAATGTCCTGTCGGAATACTGGTGTCGGTTAAGTGTCCCGTCGGCTAAGTGTCCGTGACCGGGCATTTACACACCTGCAACGCTACAACTAACAGCAGATAGCCGGGACAAAGCTTAACATACTTCAAGCTAATCGTCGGCATACAGCGGCATTTGGAACTTGATGCTTAACTAATAAGTAAAAAATATTTCATTTCTGAAATAATCTTGAACTCAAATTAAGGTTTTTTTTTATGCTAATGATTTGTACAACTATGCATTAGTCTTAGCCCTTCATTTCTTTCAAACAACATTTTGCATTGAAACAAGCAAACGAACTTGAAATAAATTTAAATTGTATTTAGAACCTAAAAACGGCAGTTAAGTTTTTAAAGACAATTATTTCTTTTCCAAAACTATTAACTATATTAATGTTTATTGCTTATTATTAATCCAAATATTTAAAGAAGTTTCCTATTATTTTAGGTGTATCCTATGCATGTACCGATTACTAATCTCTAGGCTTATTGACGCGTCCATATTTTAAAACACATTGCCCTATTATATGTAGCGTGCATATGAGACCGTTTTCCTTAGAAATTCCTCCACGGAAATATCTCTTTCGTTAGGAAGCACTACAACTCCAAACATCAATTTGCAGGACTTTTTTATTTATTAATCACCTGAAATAATTCAGACTATGACTATTCGTTAAAGGGAAGTGCTAGCCAAGATACTACTCAGAGCAGAACTAAGAGCGCCTGTCGTAGAATAAAATAAAGCCTAACTCACATGTTCGGGGAATTTTTTAGCTGTAACTTCTATGATTTCAATTAATCTGAACACATGACAATTCAGTAGCATCTAATCAACACACTATAGACAATTTAATGATGATGAATTCAGTGAAAAGTGTTCCAGTATAGTAGAAAATAAATAAATGTTCAGCCTGTTCAGATATCGGTAATATTCCACAGATTGCGTAGTGCATTTTCATTTTTAAAGATAACTATATGGAACTAAAAACCGAATTTATGATCAAATGGATATTAACTTTTTGAGTACATTTCAAGTATATACGTAAATGTTAATTCTTGTTTATACATATATATGTGCACATTGTTAATTGAATTGTGTTAATGCATTTTTTTTTTTTAAATTTCTCTTGCATTCCAAAAACTGTACTAGTATATTTCTATTTTCAAAATTTAAATTAACAAATATTTTTTTAATATAATGAAGTGCTGATCCATCTCTACTTAGGGTTTGGCAGTTAGTAGATATACTCTGGAAGATAGCTGAAAATCATATGTGGTTTCATACCCGTGATCAGAAGCTAGCTCCATGGCGCACTACTACTACTACTGCAGAAATTGGAACACACGTTAATTAGTGCTAAATTTAATTTGTAATATTAAAATATTTAGTAATGCAGAAAAACTGATCTCTGGAAAATAAAAAATAATTCTTCTCTGTGTCTATATATTCATATTACTGTTTCGCTCAGACCTATGTTTATGACCTAAAGAAGGAAAAGTTTTTTTATCAATATTAGGAAAACTGAACAAAGTACTTCAATGTTTGACATTTACGAATGTTTTTGCTATCTGAAACTCTTAATTGCCACACAGACAGCAGGTTTGCTAGATTTCTTCACATGTTTGCTAGATTTCAAAGGGAAATGCAAAACATAGGTCTTTTAAGGAAGGGGGAAAAAAAAAAGCATGGAGATATTTTCTCATTTGAATAGCATTTATGTAATAATTTAAGAAACTAATTTGCTAAAACTTCTGAAACATTTTTCGAAATTAATTCCATTTGGATTTGCAAGCTATTTTATGCTAAAATTAGACTTCCCAGACTGTATTTTACTCAGTGGGGATAAAGGCTTCTTGGAACCTGTGGATTCCGTTCGTCCTTTACCGGCACTGACCCCTAATCATTCATTAAAAGGACCAACCTGTGGGCGACAAAACCCCTCAATGTAAATTGCTTAGTAATGGGCGATAGCTTTGAATGAGGGAGAGAGTAAGTTTCTTTTCTCCCCCCTTTTTTTGTGTGTAAACATCTTGTCATTCTGTTTTTGTGAAAATTCAAATGTTAAATGATACATTCACTGAGATATTAAATTTTATTACTCTTATTTACATATATACATATGTAATAATTAAAAAAAAAACTAGCAGCAGAAGTATGAAAGAATTCAAATTATAATGCAAATATCCCATTTATTTAAAAAAAAAAAGGATTTCCTTTTTATCCTTTCTGTATTTGAAAGATTATTAGATTACAAGACAAGAAGTAAATAAATAAATGGAATAAAAATAAATATTTTCTTCCACTTTAAGGGCGACTGAAAATGCATGATACCCAGACGATCTAGTTCACATGGAATATTGACTACCACGCTTTAGTTCGGGTTCATTTAAAGTATTTTGGAGCAGGAAATATAAAAAATGAGTTAAGTTCTTCATATGACTCGAACTTCTGATTGCCGGTTGCAACCACCAGTATTACTAGAGCACCCAAGGAGGAATTTGATATATTGAATGGATAATTCTAAACTTTCAATAGCTTAAAAGCAATGTTAGTACAAAAATTAATTTTTTTAAATAATTTATAAGAAACAAAAGATGTACAGTCAAAAGTCGTTAATTCGGACACCCATAATTTCGGAATGATCTATAATCCGGACCTCAAAGCTACAAAACTTTCTGCTCACTGCGTCGCGTTCACGCATTCGCACAGGCAAGAAGTGACCCAGAGGTTATTGAAAACGAAAAACATTTCGATTGACAAATTAGTCGGTATTCTCCAACACAGCAATTATAGGACTTGAACAGCGGAACTTTGTAACTAAACAAGAAATTATGTCTGTTTAATAGAATTAAAG